CAATTTTTTCTTCTTCATCGGATATATCGCTGTCGTCGATACTTGACTTAGGTTCCTCTTTCAAAAAATCTAACAACCCATCTCTCAAATTATCATTCCCTGCCATTCTGAATAAAAATAGAGAGATCATTCAGGTAAAAATTAACTAAATAAATCATCCGTGCGACGATAGCAATAAACCTCCCAGCAACAAACTTTTACTCGTAATTTCCTATCTACTTTCTTAGCTGATATCTTCCTTATTGTTAGAGATAGCGAGAAACTAAATGCACCATTTGAAAACTTGTCTTTCAAGCTACCCTCCCAACCTACGCATCGTCTGCCATTGTCACAATCTCTTCTTGATCTCATCATTACGTTCTGTTCAGATAAAATTTTAACACATGATCAATTATCTGCTGAACAGATTTCTTGTCATGATCTGATTTATTGTGCTGTTCAAGTTCGGCAGCCTGTCTCTTGTCATCGCATGTTCACTTACCGTGATTTTATGTACATCGATTATGAACACCTCAAATCTGATGCGTTGTTAATTGATTGGCAGCCATTGTATTGTATGCGTGACATTGACGCAAAAGTTAGTTACTTTAATGACAAAATGACATGTTTGTATAATAAACATGCCCCGCTTAAGCAGAGAAAAGTAAGGCATTTCCGTGCCCCCTGACTAAATGATGGGATTAGAGACCTTATGTGTGAACGAAACACAGCTAAAATGCTTCTAGTAAAAGACTTCTACTAAAAAAGAAACGAGAATCTTTCAAACAGTTCTGCGAATCACTATCCAGTGAGTCATCATTAGGAATGATATGGAGAACCATAAGGCATTACGACAGAGCCATTAATGGCTCTGAAACCCAATCATCTACAGACTTCGCATGGACCCGGAATTTTATGTCTCACCTTTGTCCGGGGTATGTGCCTAATTTGGAAGATGTTGAAACCGGTATAGTTGAAGAGTCGGACATTAATATAGGCAAACCATTCAGCAGAACGGAATTAGAGTTAGCTCTGAAATTTAAACAGACAACATCCCCCGGTTGAGACGACGTCAGTTAAACAACATGTTAAACAACATTTCAGATAGTAGCAAAGACAACCTGCTGAAAACCTTTAATAACATCTTGAATGGAGGCAATGTTCCTGATATTTGGCATGAAATACAGGTACTTCCGATTCCCAAAAGGGGTAAAGACCCTAATTCAAGAGAGGGATACAGACCTATTTCCCTAATCAATTGTTCTAGGAAATTACTCGAAAGAATGGCACTAGCGCGTCTGGAGTGGTGGATGGAATCCCATTTGATGCTTGACGAAACGATGTTTGGATTTAGAAAGGGTAGGGGAGTGGCTCATTGCATTTTCACTGTGATTGGGTCCATCCAGAAGGCGTTTTATGAGGAAATATTATGGTCGGGGTCTTTATTGACATTTTGTCAGCTTATGATAATATAAATATCACCTTATTATTGAGAATGCTTAATCGAGATGGATTCTTGTCTGGTTGCTCTTCTGCGTCAGGTTTTAACCAGAAGTATATATCAGCTCAAACATGATCCCAGCAAGATAGGAGGTAGAACTTCATACAGGGGCTTGCCCCAGGGAAGCTCTCTCAGTCCGATACTATTTAACTACTACATCAGAGGTATTAGTATTATTAATGAGGTGCGTGAAATAAAAACTGTTGTGTTTGCAGACGATGTGGTTTTGTTGAAAGAGGGGGGTTGCATTGAATTGGCAGTTGAAATCATGAACGATGCATTGAATGCGACAGCGAGTTTTCTCGAAGAGCGTAATTTAAGTCTGGCACCTAGTGAGTCGAAGGCAATGTTTTTTAGCCCCAGGAGAACACCTGAGCTCATTCCTCCAATTAGGTTAAGGGGTGAAAATATCGCAACGACTGTGAACACGGTATACCTGGGTGTACATCTGAATGTGAGGTTGTCTTGGAAGGAGCATGTGCACTATATTGTAAATAGCTGTCAGAAGGCACTTAATTTGCTGAGGTCTCTTTCATCAACTAGATGGAGATGTGGTCCGATGGTTTCTACGTTACTCTATAAAGCACTTCTTCAGTCTAGACTGGAGTTTGTTACTTGGTTGATGTTGCTTGTCCCAGTTCCGGTGGTTAAGAAGTTAGCTGGCATTCAGCTCCAGGCAGCTAGGGTTGTTACTGGTGCAATTAGATCTACACCAACCAATGCGCTATTGGTTGAAGATGCCATTGGATTTAAGGTTGCGTCTGTTAATGGATAAATTTGTTGTGAAAAACCATATGCGTAGAACTGGTTCGGTAGGAAATTTAAGGGAAAATTTGAGCCAACTACATAAAGATGGCAGAGTGGCCGATAGTAGAGTGACACTGATTATAAAGAGATATGAAACCCTGCTACCAAGAATAGTAGATATGCGACGTACTAATATGTTGGACATGTTCAGAGTAAATGTTGATGTGTATGTTCATGTCCCCAAAGTGAGAACTGATTTAGTGTGTGCTAAACTCAGACAAGCATTGCCTGCAGTTAGCTTTAATTATAATGCTGTATTTGATCGGGAAGTTCAGGCGTCGTGGCCGGATGCAAAGTTTATTTTTACGGATGCTTCGGTGACAGGAGACCCAACCAGACGACTTCATTTTGGTGTATATGCGCCCGACTTGTAGTTGTCCCATTCGGGAAAACTATCGGACCATACTAATATATTTGTGGCAGAATTGTTTGCTGTATGGTGGGCAATGGACTATGTAAAGACAAACAGGATGTCACCAGTGGTGATATTCACAGATTCGTTGAGTGTGATCCGTGCATTGGAGGTGGCCATGGGAAGAAAGACGAAGGTACAGTATTTGGTGAACAAAGTTAAAGAACTTAGCTGGCAGTGTACTGTAGAAGAACTGAAGATTGAGTTGGCTTGGATTCCTGGCCATGTGGGAATTGTTGGGAATGAGAGGGCGGCGGGGGACACTGGTCCATGGTATTAGATACGCAAAGACGTTAGTGACATTGTCTACGAACTGAAGAGGGATGTATTGGATTTATGGCAGCAGGATTGGGATGATAGTAGCAGATTCAAGGGCAGAGCCTTATGGTTGATTAAGACGGATGTCAGAGAAGGGGCATGGCCTTCAGAATCTAAACACATGATATCTACAATTAATCGCATGAGAGTGGAACATGGCATGTTTCCTGCACATCTGTATAGGATTGGCATGGCGGATTCTCCAAACGCAGTTGCGGAGAATTTTGTGCTCTTAACTACATTATTTTGGCCTGTGAAACGTATGAGTTGTATAGAAGTAGAATGTTTGTTAAGTTGAAAAGGGAGGATATTTTTCCTCCATATAATGTTAGTTTACTTTTGGCGACCAATAACGCTAGAGTTTTGAGAATGCTTTTTTATTTTTTGTGCAACAGAGGAATTTTTGTTTGATTTTATTTTTTAATGCAATATGACTGTTCGGTAGATGTTCATCCTTTCGAGGGGGTTGACCCGGGGATGTAGATCTAACGCCGTTCGGTGGGTTATAGGCATAAGTACAAGTGGTTTAGTCGGTTAAGGTAGTAAGGATGGATCATTCCCCCCTTCTGGTAGTTCTTTTTATTTGAGTTGTTTTTGATCTTTGGAACTTTATCTCCCCACAGGGCTACCTAATTTGAAGATAAACTGATACAAAAAAATTGTGACTGGTGGTAAAAGGGCTATATAAGCCCAAGGTTTATATATTAAAGGTTGTCTAAGTATATATGCTGCAATACTTTGATTTAGTTTGTGGGCGAGGGGCAAGAGCAGAAGTGTTTCGTGACGTAAGCGATCACGAATTGCGCACGCAACCTCATGGCCATGTGGTGCTCCATGCATTTATTTAATTTGAATTGCTTGGCGGTATTATTTTCCACATGTGACGTAATGCGCAGTATGGTTGCGTACGAATCTAGACAACCTCTTATATATGAACCTTGATATAAGCCCAGATACCAAGTGGTTACCCCTGGTTTTAAGAAGAAGAAGAAGAAGATAACCTTATACAGTATGTTTACTCCACGGAACTTGACGTGTTACAAAAAAAGTGTAGGCATATTTGAAATCAGCAACCCAAACTTAACTAAAAACACTCAACTCATCAACTGTACAAAAATCTTGCAGCACAGATAAAATTTGTGATAAATTTTTTTTTAAATTCGGTTTGATAACAATTGCACAAGGGCTTGAAGTTTGGCAATTTTGAGCTATTTTAAGTACCTACAGGGCGGTATTCTTCATTTTTTATTGATCTTAACATCAACTTATCGGCAAAGGATTTAGATAGAGAAAGACTCAAGCTTTCAAATGGTGTATTTAGTTTTTTACTATCTCTAATAACAAGAAAGATATCAGCTGAGAAAGGAGATAGAAGATTAAAAAGTTTGGGTAAAAGTTTGTTGCTATTGTTGCACGGGTTTAAATTTTCAGCGTTAGTTTCGTGTTTTAAAAATAAAGATTTAAAAATATTAACCTACCTTAATTAATTAAGAATAACACGAACAGGCGCGTACGTGTATTTTGTACACAAAATCACTTTAATTTTTAAGCCTCTCAAACAATTTTCAACCGTAGTGAACCGTAGCCCTCAAAAGACAGATTTACTCTAAAGGCTCTAAAGGGATACCTGCTAAAGAAAGGATTATTTATCCGGAAATGACGTCATTCTACCCCTTAAACACAATTGTGTGTACTTTGAACACAAGCGCGCCTGCCGCAGGTTAAATAAACCGATGTCTCAACTAAAAATAGTTTTTGGACAACCTTGGAAGCAACTTATTTGAAATAAATTCATAGAAATAATTTTGAAATAGTTTTGATAAAGCTACGTTTTAATAAACAATCCGTTTTTATTAATAACTTATTTTCTAATAAATTCCGATAATAAATAAAATACTTTCAAATGAATCGCATTGAGCGCCAATAAATTTTTTGAATTTAGCGCGGCGCATGCGCACATCTTACGTTACGCCGCCCTGGGTACCGGGCATTTCTGTAACCAATAGTGTATCCGGCCGCAGAGCGTTTACTGAAAACGTTGTTAGATCGGCGATATGTAAGTGATTTTAGTGTATTTGAAAAAATCTTTACGTCGAATTATCGTCGTATCGCGTGTTTCGTTGTCCGGGGTATCCGGCGACGTTTGACCACCATGGAGAACTCAAACTCGGAAGGTGTCGTCCTACCGGACATTTCCGAAGCCGAACATCTTGCGAGCGAGCACGATGGTGGCGAAAATGGCGAGGAGATTACGGATTCAAAACATCGTGTTTCCGTGCAAACCGTACGACATGGATCTGTTCCGGTTACATTACCCGTTGGTTCGCTCATCACCAGCACATTTAACGTTATTACGCAGGATCAATTACCCCATTTTAAGCCCATGCTATGTGTAGATAATAATGGATATATTTCCACTGATGGTTCCAGTAAGTTTTATTATTGTTACAAAAATTTGTTTCATTTTTTAACATGATTATTTCGTAGTACTCAATTTTAGCTGTGATTGCCATTTCTTAACATTAATTTTCTTTGATCAAAAACTTACCTTATCTTTTATGTCAATCCCTGTAGAGGTTAACGGTTTTAAATTGTTTTTATACTCTGTTTATTAATAAAAATAGGTTAACTTTTAATAAGCTATTATTTAGCTTATTCATATACATTAATATCTGTCTAAACTGATTCTATAAATGGAAAAACAAAATCAATCAAATTAAGGTTATGTTTTTGTTTGTTTTTTTATTCTTTTTGTTGGCAGCTTTGATTTGAAACTTTTAATTCATCCCCTAAGTTTTTCTTTCCTTAAATTTTGTATAGTTAAACCGATTATCAGGATACTTTACATATTAGTACAATATTCTCACTATTTTATAAATAACCACCCTAGAAATTATGCTTTATGACCGATCTGTATTACATTTTTCAACAAATAAGTAAGATTTCACTACTGATTGATATCTATACTGTAAATGTTGAAAACACAATGTTATTTACATAATAATCCATATAATTATATACATAATAATAATAATACAATAATACCTTGGAGATTGGAGTTACCGGAAGCATCGGCGTTTTTGGTCAGTTGACAAATCGTTGACAGTGTGCTTTGAGGAATACCGAATTCAGCAGCAATTTCTTTTTTATTTTTTTCCCTTTTTTCTACCATCTTAATTAGCGATAGTTTTTCCGTAATCGTTAAGCACTTTAATTTTCGCTTATTACTAGCCATTTTAAGTACACTAGACACCACCTAGCAGCTTTAACATTTAGCGAATGTTACGGCTTTCCGTAGTTGTAAACAAGTGAATTCAGAGAACTGGATATATACAGGGACTTTACTGGATTCTTGCTGGTTCGAACTATAAAATCATCCAAATAAAAAAAAATTATTTACAGAACGGATTCGAATATTATATTCTTTGGTAAATTCGACTTATAGAAGTAAAAGTTGAAGAAATTCCATAGTAGTTCAGTTCGAGTTACAGAGAAATTCGAGTTGTTGAAATTCGACTTAGGCCCACTTTTACCACCTCTTGATAAATTTAACCGATAGATAATTAACATGGTTACAGCGGTTTTAAGCGCTCTCATTGGCTAAGAGCGCCAATTTATCTATCAGTTAAATTTATCAAGAGGTGGTAAAAGTGGGCCTTAGAGGATAGTTCGAGTTAGGGGAATTTCACTGTATTTATTATAGTAGTAGTGATAGTTCAATTAATGGTTGTATGAAGGAAGGTGAAGAACTGAATTATCTCTAATTAATTTGTTAAGTACAGGTGTCCCAAATTCCTTTTCTCCAAAACTAAATGAGATAGACTAAAAGTAACTTATGGTTATCACCATAGCAACATTAACCTTTAAATACATACAATAATTTTAGATAGAATTTACCAGTGAGAAGTTAGCCATAGATTCCACTAATAGATTTCTCTACAAAAAATTATTAAAAAAAAAATAATATGTAATCAATATTTATTAATTTGTTTTTCTGCGCAACCGGTTTCGAAAAAATTACTTTTCGTCTTCAGGCGCAACTAAAAACTATTAACTTCCTCGATCTAAACATCTCAAGGGATTCTATTAATAAATGTCTTAATTACAAAATTTATAGAAAACCTACCTCCACAGATGCAATAATTCCGAAAGAAAATCTTTCTGTCCGTTTAAATACAAATATGCTTCCTTCAATTTCCTATTTCTCAGAGCCTTAAAAATTCCTATGAATACAAAAGATTTCAATAATGAAATTCTCACCATTATAAATATCGGTTTAAATAACGGTTTCAAATTGGACGACTTACAACGAAGCTTTTATAAAATCCATAACAATTTAATCACTTCCAAACTGTATCCTCATAGAACAGCTCCAAACAAGTTCATTTCTAAAAATTTTTTTCAACCCCCACCCCGAAAAAGGGATGTTTTCGCCTTGATGGGCCTTCGAATTAAACCAAATTCTACCACATAATAGAACACAGTTCTGAGTATTTTTATCAATTTTCACACATTTGCTATCATTCCATTTTACCAGCAATATTTTGTTTTCGCTATCAAATCTTTGATCATAGGATTCTGGAGCTAACTTTTCTAGGTCTTTAGTTGGTCGCAACAGACATTTTACATTTTCTTATTTTCGCTGATAGTACCTGTTACAAAATAAGGCATGATTGCTATAAAAATTATAAAAATATAAACAACAGCTTTTTGGACTATATCAATTAGTTAGCAAAAGAAATAGAAATCTTCACCACAGAGTGCCCAGAGTTTGTAACCAAATCGTATTGGCTTACCCTTTATGAACTTTTAGTTAGTAGTGAGTGGTGATCGTAATATCTTACAATCATTTCATTTATGGACACATTTTCTTAAGAAATACAAAAATTTTGAAAACTTGCATTTACTATGTTTAACAACGGTCTAATCTTAAACTATTCGGCATTGTTCTGAAAATGTATGTAAGACTTGAAGATAGACATTTTTGCTCATAGCATGTTTCATAATAGGTTTTCCCAAATCGTCATCGTCTGACCAATAATCGCGCTCAGATGGTAATTGTGAGTACCCGCTAAATACAAAAAAAAGCCAATACAAATTTTGTTCTCATCTTTTGTGAACTGTGGTATAACCGGAAGTGCTAGAAATCTGAAAATATTTTAACCGAAAAGACCGCAATTGATAATAGTTAAGTTGAATTCTCAAGTTTTTATTTTGGCCAGAAACGTCTAATGACCGGTCTCGCTAAGACACCTGTATACGTACACAGTTTAACAACAAATTTTTTTTCTCGAAAACCGTGAAGGGTTACGATGTTTTGATGGTCGATTTAAATCGCTAAAGGCATCCTCTAAATTATCCTAAAATTTCATCCATTTCAGAAGTGCCCATCGGGATCAAATTCACCCCCAAAGTCCGCGCCGCGCTATATACGTATGGAATCTAACAACAAATTTCTTTTCTCGAAAACCGTTAAGGGTTACGGTGTTTTGATGGTCGATTTAAATCGCTAAAGGCATCCTCTAAATCATCCGAAAATTTTATCAATTTCAGAAGTGCCCATCAGCGTCAATTCACCCCTAAAGTCCCATCCGCGGTTTATAAGAATGATTTTTTTCTCGAAAACCGTTAGGGATTACGGTGTTTTGAAAATTGATAAAAATACTTAGACTGTGTTGTATTTGGTAGAATTTGGCTTAATTCGAAGGTGCCCATCAGGTTCCACTCTGATGGGCACATCCCTTCATCTACGTATCTGAAATTTAATTTATATTCGAGTGGTTTAGTTTGTATTGTAGATTCACACCGATCTTTCGATCTAAAGTATTTTCAAGATGGTTTTCGAGTTACTTTGATTTTAACTTTTTTTGGCAAATTTCACCATGCTCCTTAAAACCCCATTTTTCAACCAATAGTCATTCAAAAAAGCACTTCAGATGATATCAAATAGATCGTTATTTGTTGTATCAGAGTATCTTATGGCTGGTCAAAAATTGTATTATCGTTTCTCCATATTCAATGGCAGGAATGTCGAAAATTTTAAATGGAATGAGTCATATTTTTTTAACCTAGCAAAGAGAGAATTTAATTCTCTACAAATCATCTATAAACATGCCTATTCACACTATACCTATTCATTGTAGTTTCCCTGATGTTGGGAAATTTGTCAAAACATCGACGGAATGATAGAAATTGTTTGGTTTTTTTATTAGAACGCCATGGAATTTTGACAGTTTTTCGTTTATGTTTCTATTATTGTTGTCATTATATTAATATTTTACCGCATTTTACTGCATTTCCAAATGAAATTTAATTAAATAATTATATTTTAAAGTTGTATTTTTATTCAAACCTAATTTTTGTCATTAATTTTTGTTTTCATTGCTTCATTTATTTGTTCTTCTGTTTGTTATTTTTGGCAAATAAAAGATAATAATCTAAAAGATTATCAATCGTAGTTAATTATAAAAATAAATTAAACAAAAAACTGTCAAAATATTATGGCCTTCTAATAAAAATATAATCGATTTCCGGCATTTCCTGCATGTTTTGATAAATTTCTCACTATGATGAAAACTATAATAAATAGGTATAGGAATGTTTATAGATTATTTGCAAAATAAAGTATGGGGCGTACCATTTAAAATTTTCGACTTTCTTGCAATTGAATGCGAAAAAACAAAAAATATGCCAAAAAAAAATTAAAATCAAAATAATTCGAAAACGAAAAATGCTAGGTAACTTTTATCAAAGTCAACATTTTTTTTCACATATAATTAAAAGGTGCAGAGTAATCGTGACAATTTAGAGTTTTTTTGAATGAACGTTAGCTGACATTAGGCTTTTTTAGAGCACGGTGAAATTTGCCAAAAAAGCTTAAAAATAAAATAACTCGAAAACGAAAAACGCTAGGTACCAATAACTTTTATTGAAGTCAACATATTTTTTTTACGTACAATAAAGGTGCAATAAAAACTATAGCATTCCATTTAAAATACCGGTAGACATGTAGATATTTTTTTAAATGTCAAATAGACTTCTAAAGAAATTGATTTTTTAGTAATTTTTAGCAATCGTAGATAAAATGCTGTATATCACACGTGGGCTAGAGCATAATTACAGTACTCATGTGATTACACGACTCGATCTATGACCTCGTCGTGCAATTCTCCACACTCGTACTGTAATTATGTTTCTAGCCCACTTGTAATATAAATAACTATTCGATCGAAAGTTTCGAATGAAGCCATGCAACCATAATTTCAAACCTCTACAGATAGTGGAACCTGAAACAGTTCTAACGTATCAGTTACGTGAGACACCGAGTATAATAAGGTTATAACATTTTGTAATAGAGCTAAAAAATACAGCATATTATCATTTTATTTTGAATGATAATTTCTCGGTATTAATACTAAATATTTTCGAAACTACTAAATTCTTCAAATCAATATTGATGGGGAAAATTGCACAGTTTTCGATGTTCTATCACATGCATGTAATAAAAAGTTTGCGATGAAGAGAAGGTTACTTTAGACTGCAGTGTCACCTTTATTTTTATACAATGAATAATAATATTTAAGAACTGAAGTTATTTATGTATTCAACATATCCATTTTCGAAACGATCGAAAAATACTCAAATATGTGTATTTTATGCACTTCTCATCGTTTAGGTCAAGGTCCTACCTTTTTATATATTAACTTCCATTCACTATATTCCTCTGTGAGCTTTTTCATTATGTATTCCATATCTTCATGGTCCTGTGCGGTTCGATGGCAATACATAATCTGTAGATGATGTTGTAGATTAGCGGAAAACCCTTATTTTTGCATTTTATTTTCCACGGATTTAGTGCTTTCTTTACATATATTTTGAACAAGATCGTTAATAGGCATTTGGATATTGTTTTCCATAACATGCTGCCATACGCTGTATTTAGGTCTATGAACACTAGGTTCTTGCTTATACGCTGCTTTCTTTCATTAGCTAGAAGACATTAAAGAAGTGGTCTCTTGTTGATGTTTCAGCACAGAAGTTACTTTCGTTCGATATTGGTTTACTGTTAAGGCAGTTCTAAAATAGTGTCTCGTATTTAATTGTCGGTATAGTTTTATTGTTCCATATTTTATTAGGTCTGCTGGGTTGTACTTTCTTCCTTCTTTTGTTCCTTTAAGAAGTTCGATCTACGTTCTGTTAGGAACTGCGTAAAGTAGTCGTGTTATTTTTTGATTTGGATCTCTTGTCTTACTCTGTCCACTACCTTTTTGTCCACCTATATATGTTCTTATTCTGCTGCATGTCTTCTCCTATGTTGGTACCGTGCTTTATGCTCGTTTGATATTGATGCCAAGTATATTTTCTGTTTTTCTCTCTTGTGTCTTATTACATCTTCTATTTCTTCCTTCCACCCATATGGTTCTCTAATTTGTCGGGTTTCCTTGTATTCCAGAGCTCTTTATAAAGCGGTAGTGTTCTTCGTTCTTTTTATATTCTATTTTTTTCAATTTTTCATTTAATCTAACTTCATGCGGTTTTTATGTGGTTTCATCAATTAAGCTGTAGAAGTTAAATGTTCCTCTGGTCTCTCTCCCTTTTTTCCGTGCCTGTCCCTTTTAAATATTTTTTCGAAAATACTATATAGCTCTTTCTAATTGTAAGACGTTGTGACTCGAAAACAAATTTTTGTTATCGAAGTTCTTGATGTCTTTTTCTGAGGTTTTTATCTTCTTCATAATAGATACTCATCCTGAACATAAATAAACAATTATATCGACAAAATTATTTATTTTTTGCAACTAAGCTAATGTATTAGAACTAAAGAATATTTTGTATGAAGAATGGCAAACTGACATTACATAAAGGAAAATTTGTTTTAATAAATGTTGAACAGAAACCTTTTATTAAAAAGGTTTCAAATAAAAATTTAAATTATTCAAATTTTATAAAAGGTAATTAAAATATTTCAATAAGTCTCAAAATATCTCTTTTAATCAAAAATAATTGTAATAAAATACTAAAATGAACTTGTATTTTCAACTCAACAAGTTCTTAAAATTTTTCCTTAAATTTTTTCCTAAAAACGGCATTTTTCATACCATGATAGCAATCCATTGTGTTAACAATGTTGCTGAATTATCCAACCGATAAGAATATTTTTAAACAACGTTTTCAACCTTGACTTCTTTATCAAAAATTTGTTCAATAATTTTAATCTTAAAACCTCTAACAATAAATACAAAACGTTTCTACACATTGCCAATTACACGTCCTTTATTTAAACACACCATCATGTTACTGCCAAATCGTTAAATAAATAACTTAGTTGGTTATATTTAAAAACATATCCTCAAAAACCTCCTTACTTATTTCATTTTTTTCTATTTATAGGTGGTGAATTAAAAACTATTGTTATCCAACAAGAAGACGTTTCGGCAGCCACGTCTGTTTCAAATCCCGTTTCAGTTTCCGGTTCGGTCAGTTCATGGATTGAAGCGGCAAATCTTCCTGTTTTGCCGGTGAGATGTAAAAATACTTCTGCCGAATTACATAAAAGTAGATTTGGTTCTGGTGGTCGAGGAAGATGTATTAAATTAGGAAATACTTGGTATACTCCAAGTGAATTTGAAGCTCTCTGCGGAAGAGCATCAAGTAAAGATTGGAAACGAAGTATACGATTTGGAGGAAGAAGTCTTCAAACTTTAATAGACGAAGGTGTTATTCTTCCACACGCCACAAGTTGCACGTGTTCAGCGTGTTGTGATGACGAAACTGCAACAGGACCGGTACGGTTATTTACTCCATATAAAAGAAAAAGGAGGAAAGAAGGTGATGGTACGTATAAAAGAAGAGAACATAGCGGGGACGAAAGTGATGAAGGTGGTCAAGAAAGATCAAAACAAGAAGCTTGGCAAAATTTGGCAGAAGGATTAGATTCAAACGAGTACCCAATAGAAGAAAATTCAGATCCTGTGGTAACTTTAAAACGATTGGAAAATATTGCATTAAGTGTTTGTCGAATGATGAGCGAATTGAAGAAAGGAATTGAAGATGTTAAGGAAAATGTTAACAGGCAGAAGGAACGATTTCAACGTGAAAAAGATGTTGCAGTTGTTGCTGCTCGAGTTGAAGCTCAAGTTGCTGCTTTACAACCTGATAATAATGCTGATTCTACATTACAACCGTCCTTGGATAATGACCATGTTAAAAAAGTATTTTTCGTTTGCAAGAATTATAAATTTCTTTATTAATTTGATGTATTTTTAGTGCGCAAATTGTAATAGAGAGGCATTAGCTGAATGTTCTCTATGTAGAAGAACTCCATACTGTTCGACATTCTGCCAAAGAAAAGACTGGGGAGCGCACCAAGTTGAATGTGTTAGAAGTGTTCAACCAGAAAATAATAATCAACAATCAATAATGTTGATTGTTGAAAGCGCGGACCAACAGTGAAAACGTGTTAAAGGCGTAATTTAAAGGTAAAATTAAGAACGATAATATTTAATAAGATACAAACTCACTGTTAATTTTTTTTTTACTTTTTCAATGACATAAAATTAATTTTTTAATACATAAAAGAAGGCAGCAAAGACATTAATTGGAATTTAAAAAGTAATTAAGTGACTACTTTACATTTTTCTTTTTATTATTTTATTCTTTTTATTTTAACAAAGTTATAACTCTCTTAGCATAATTTAGTATAGGATTGTTAAGCTTAAAAAAAATTATGATAATTATAAAGGTACTGTTTCTTTGGTATTGTCCTTGCTGGGATTTGTGATAAATTTTGTACCATCTGTACTTTCATATCTTTAAAAAATATTACTGAAACAATCGTTTTATTAATTAAATCCTCTTTTGTAAGCGTACTGTACAAAGTTACTCGATGTTTATTTAAATAAATATTTTCTGAAAAATGTTTATTGTTTACATAAACATTAATGAATCACCTTCCAAATTACATCATCTTCACATCATACCTCTTTTATATATTAAATTTGACATAAAATCATTTAATTACTTTAAATCCCAATACTATAAAGTTGAAATGTTTTTTACTTACTGCACATTTAGAATGAATTCAAGAAACCTTCACACTAGAATAAGGATGATACATTAAAGTATGAGAGGTTTCTTATCCTTTTTCATATATCAGTATGGGTTATGAATAAAGAAAATAAAAGTATTTGCCAAAAACAATGTAAATAAATGGAATTAAACTTTTAAAAATCGAGAGATCACCTAACAGTAATGTAAATGAAAGATAAAACATGTGGAAACCTAACCATTTGATTCGAGGCGATAAAAACATTGGACATTGGACAAGACAATAAAACAAAGAAAACTGTAAGTAGAAAATTTATAGAAAACTTATTGAGATGAATTAGATAAAACAACTTCAAGAATACCTTGAAAGCCGCTGATTAGCTGAATAATCAAATGATTTGAAGAATTTAATTTTTTGATTAGAATTATTAAACGAAGTAGGTATGATTTGATAAGATACCTAATCATGAAGAACATGAGAAAAGTGATTCATCAAAGGTATGTGTATTTTATATCCTTTATTACCTTGCCTAGGCTTGTATTTTTTGAGACCTTGCAATGAATCTATTTGGTTGTAGAATGTTACACCCAGAATTTAGTGTGTTCTCTATATCTACACTGATATTTTCATGATATACAAATACTTTAATTACACTTTTTCACTTTTGAGGTGTTCTATTTGGTCCTTAAAATGTTATACCTTTCAGAAATACATACAGTCGCCTCAAATAACTTAACTTTTGTAGGCTATCGTTCTTTGATCTATGTAAAAGGTCCTAACCCACACATAAACGATATTTACTTAATGCATAAAGTAATCTCTGGCAGTTTTTAACTATACAAGTGAAAAAAGCACAGATATTTAAAGACTTACATCTAGAATTCATGCTCATTTACAAAATATACAATTCTATGATAGAGTTCTTTTACTCATTTAAACCCACATGCTTCTTCTTCGCCAAACCCTAAAATATCTAAAATATTGTTATAATATTTTAAATATTATAGAGATTCATGTTTAACTAAATGTAAGTATAAGTGGGATGTTATTACGCTAAGTATAATACAAAAGATGACCTGAAAATAGTTTCACAAAGAGAAAGAACTCAAATGAATTAAAAAGTTGTAAATTATACTTACTTATATTTTTGATTAAACGCTTTAAGCTTTTGCTACTCATGTTGAATAGCACATAAAAAGAAACAAAAATTGATGAGATTTGATACTAAATACAATAAATTTTTTTCAAGTTTAAAGGTCTTTAAATATAGAGAAAAGTGGAATAATGACATATACTAGGTCAGGCAAAGTCATGGGTGAGACGGAGGATGACAGTGGAGCAATGAAGTTGGTCAACAAACCTTCTGCCCAACTGACCAACAACCTTAGTATGCAATACCTCATATAATCATATCTAAAGATCTATAGAAACACAAAGTTATCACTATAAAGCCAGGTCTTCGAGAGGAAGATCCTGAGGAGGATTTAGATCCAATATATACTCAGCGGCATAAAAATCGTATCATCTAAAATGATGACCAGTTTCAAATTGCAATAACTTTTGAACGTATTGCTCGATTTGAATAAAGTTTTTTTTATTTGAATAGTCTACCCTTTGCCAATATTCTCTTCGCCTTCCCCATTTTGGCGCCCTTCAATTTCAGCAATGGTGAATAACGTTAATGCGTGTTTACTTCCTACACTTTGAAACTTGCTGTGGGGTGCGCTGACAAGTCTCGTCTTCTGATCACTTCTGTTTTTTGTTCAAGTTTCTATTGTTGTTAACACCAACGTTACAAGCTCTAAAAGATAATGCAGCTTTTTCGGTAGCGCCATCAGTAATTAAAACAAGTCATGGATGTTGATGAAATTTAATTAAACTGTGACAAGTAAATTAAACAAAATATTAATAACGGATATTTCCTCCCCTCGCTTGAATGGTATAACTATCCTTCGAGGCATACTTCGAATCAGGTTTTGAATTTCACTTTGGGGAATCTGATTCCACTTTTCTTCTAGCGCTATTCGGAGATCATCTAGCGTTTGTATAGCGGCACGACTACAAATTTTTTATTCAGCTGATATGTTAGACTATGTTAGACAACCCTTTGTTATATAATCACCGTTTATTATTTGTTGCAGCTTATCATCTGCCACGGCTTATATGGCATCTGTCGATTTTTTAATCGAGTCGAATTGGTACTTAGTAATATCTGCAATATTTCAGTTGATAAAATTCTGAATTATAATAAGTGATAAATTTTTCATTGTGTAGTTCACATCTGCAGACTACTAGGGTGTAGTCCACTACACCTGTATTCACGCAGAGTCTTGAGAGTTGAAGTCTGTACACATTAAATATGCAAGATTTTGCAAAGTTTTACAGAGCTTTGGTTTCAAGTAACCACATAAGTGTATTTTATTTAGATTCCTGTAGTTGCAAAGTTGACAATATGTCTTAGTGTCATGAATTTAAGAGAATCCAGGTCATAATTCTGCAGACCATTATATCCTAATTTATGAAGAGTCCACAAGCTCTTCATAAATTAGAATATTGCACACTCCAAAAATGCTATAGATTCAAGCTTTTGCAGAGTTAAAGGTTAAAAGAGAGTGGCGAGAATGGTTAGAACACAATGGTAAACATAGATATTTTACAGAATTTATTATTTATTTATTCCTTGGATACCTAAAATGATTTAAATAGTTTTGTATAAAATTACTTTTTATGACACAGGTGATAGTAGATGTTAGAGACCACGAGAACTTGTTTCAAGGAGTTTTCCGAAATATGTCATAAAACCTATTATAATGCTTGTTATTAACTTAAATCACTAGGATAGGATATAATGTTCATGTAACAATGCAACTTAATTGATAATAATTGGCATCTCTGATATGCTCTGGTAGTTGTGGCTGTTCATAGGTACATATGTAATGATTTCCATAAATGCAATAACAGTCTCTTGACACTTTGAAACGTTGGAATGCCAGGTTGAATATCTATATATAGCAATAAATAAGTTTAATATGTAGGATTAGGATGAAGTAAACATAATAATTTTGCGAAACGGACAAAGTTTCAGACGAGTCGGGACACAAATTAAAAAATTCGAATTATTTGAACGTTAAATATACATATAATAAGAAGGAAATCTTCAAATCTGTGATCATAGCCAAATTTGATGTTTCAGTAACACCAAACTTTGGGTTACTCTAACACGGATGCCAAAAGAAAAAATTATGAAATGGCAGGAGCGTAAGAGCATCAGAGAGAGCATCTTTTGACAAAAATAATGCAACCAGGAGTTGTAGGTCATGTCATAAGTATGTTAATAAAAGCGTAATTTCACCGGTATCGCCTGTTAACCCTATATTATCATCTGAGATTGGTACGATGTTCAATGGATGTCATCAAACAATATAAAAAGACTTGAAAAATTATTTCATATTCATCTAATTTTACCTTTTTTGTGTATAGAAGATGATTGAACACGATGATTATTGCCTCGGTGTTAGGACACTAAGTCTAGGTAAACATTAATATGAAAAAAGCATTCCATGAAGACACATAAAAAAATGGGTGCAATATCTTCTGATTAAATTTTAGGTTTTTCAAAATTTTGGGCGTTTTATGATCCAAACTATAGCCTTTATCCCTTAAAGATTGATCAGATGAGTGTTCTTTATCGTAATTTCTCCACTTTTTTTTCAATTTCTCATAAAGCCATTTTCAATTTCTCATAAAGCCATTTTCAATAAACTTATTTATTTAGCGTATGACATATATAACATACACAATAGAATAGCAGGTAAAAGTTACAAACAATATATAAAACTCTCAATAGGAAGTACAATCAAAATCTAAAATGTTATACCTAATTCGGCTAGCAAAGAGTTTCGGGTTTAGCATCAAAGAAGTCCCTTACAGCGTTAGGATAAGGATACCATATCACAATATGGTATCGCACTCCCCATTTGTAGAAGCTATTCTGTACGTATTCTGCAAATCCTTTTGGTTCTTGGTTAGGGAGGATCTATTGGTTTATTCTGATGGTGTTTTGGCGTTCCAGTCTTTTTCTCATTCAGAGTTGATGTAGTTGATGTCGGAATCTGAGACGATTCATATCATGATACGGTAGGTCCTCATGAATTAGCAGCAGTGAGTTGTCAGTTATTTTCTTGAACTCTGTTACGGGAGCATTCTTTCTTTGTAGGTTTGTGGCAGAATGCTGCTCGTACACCTTGGGTAACACTAAATGAACTAAAACAGTTGGCACTCAGATTAATGTTAGGATCTTCGGACTAAAGACACATGGAACCCATTCAAATACCAAACGGTCCTGATCAGGACCATATGTCAAAAAATCTAAGAAACACTCTCTGCATTTGCTAACTTAATATAAAAGCAATTAGCTATGCTAACTGTGAATATCTTTCAAAATTCCTTCGACAGAACGATATAGACGTGGCTGTCATTCAAGAGACCCACACAGATAGCAAGTAATAGCTCGGAGTTAGAGGTAAGATACCAGGATATGATATCTTAGGGACAACATATCATCGTTATTATGGCTGCGCTACTTACATGCGCAACTTCATAAAGAATGCCCATTTAGTGTCGACTACTATAAGTCATAATATACACACTATCAATAAATGGATTATTATTCTCTAAATAATCCATTTATGTAGTGATAGCTAGCGGGTTAAGTAAGTTTACTTACTGCCAATAGGTCAAATAGTCTCAAAGCATTTTATTGTAATAATTCATTGTAATGTTCTTATATTTGTGTTCTTATAAATGTTGAATGTTTTGTCCACGTTCCACTGTAAGTGTTGATCACTATTTCTACTTTCAATTAATTCTAATTTGTAAATTTTGATATTATTGTTTAATAAAACAAAAAAATAATTCTCTAACATACTTTATTACATCCGAAACATCTTTTATCTAATAAACATCTATAAAATTCCTAATGGATTACCCAACCATGGATAAACATCAGGACAATCGCTACATTGCGTCATATATCTTACTTCTTCACCCTTATTTAAAGTGCATACGGTTGCCTCACAAGTCGGTTCGTATGTATTTGGGCAACTAGGCCATAAGTTTTTCAAGTCTTTGGTTGTTGTTGGATTTTGAACCCATTCAATACCTCTTTGAACGGTTACCTAAATATTTCAAATTAATCATCATCAATTAATCGTGTGGTTAGTATGCTTACAATATAGACATCATTGAGAGTTCCTAAGTAATCCAAAAACTGTTTATACGCTTCAAAATTAACGGGATTTTTATCGAACCACGCAGCATGTATATAAAAACCGAATGGGGCTTTATTGGAGGTATAATGACGTTGGAAATTTGATTTCATTAATTCAAGAAGTTCTGGAGCATTATCAGGACTAAAAAAAAATATTAAGAACTTCTTTTATAAAGCAAGTGGATGTTATCTTACGTAGCACAAGAATCGACCATAGCACAAACATTGCCATCACTTCCGGTCCAATCAACCATTGGTTGAACCCAAACACCTGGAAGTGAAACTGTTGGACATTTTCCAACTGGACAATCTTGATTTGAAAGATAATCCAAAGTGTAAGGGAATAAAGGTGGGTCTTGATATCGTAAAGTTGGCCAAGATGAATCGTATTTCAAGCCAAGATCTTTGATAGCTTGAAAACTAGTATCACCTACAAGTGCAAAAGAATAATTTAAATCTGACTTATTGTTAGCTGATTTACAAAAAGTCGTACCTGGTAATTGAAGGAACGGTACTCTCAATCCTTTAATATCTTCTTCAGGAATATCAGCAAATTTAGCTATAAGAGTCCTTTCACCACCAAATTCATCCTTGTAACCATCTAAAGACAAATCGTCCCAATAAGTAGTCATGGTTTCGTGACTAATAGAATGAAGAGCAATTTCGTGTCCGCGAGCATGTAATTCCTGGACTTTTGAGTAGTCAGTATATTCATGGGAAATATAATAAGTTGCTCCAATGGAACAACCATCCGGATTTTTTCTATTGAAGAAAGCTTCTTCGTAATATTTAAAATTAACCGTATTCACAGCATCATCAAAAGTTAGAAGAACCAACTACAAAGAAAAAAAAATAAAAATAACTATATGATAAAATCACACTTTAGAATCGTAATATATAAAAAATATATTAAATACCTGGGGTATACTGTTAACATCTAAACCATTAGGGATTTCTGTTGATAGACACCTACAATTTGGTAAAACACAACTCTCAGCTTTACACGCTTGTGCAGTTTCGAAAGTAGTAAAATTTCTAACTGTACCGGCACAAACTGCGGCGATTAAAATAGTAAAAATTATAAATTTTCCGAACATTTTTTTACAATTTCTTTTACTTCATAACGATGATATCGACGATGTAGTAAGCCATTTTTAGATTTTCGTCTTATATATCGCCCTTAGACCGGAAAGATAAGGAATAATAAAAATTTCAAGTGATTGATGATTAAATGAAACACCTTGTTTTTTGATATTGATAGGATAGAACACATTGATAAATTGTATAAGTGTTTGATTAAATTCTATATTTTTCTAACTACTTTCCAAGGGTTAGTTACTTTAATGATGTAATCAATCTAGAAAAATAAACAACTTTTTATTATATATAAGATATATTTAATCTCAAATACTACAGTGAAAATGATGACGATTCGTGTAAACAGTTTTGATCTAAACCCATAAATGACTAAGATGATCATTTCTTGCATTTCAACCATTTTGTTTTGTAACTTTTCATTGTAACGTCATAATTATAATTTATTTTATTTTATCATGTTAAATTGTAATTTTTACATTTTTAAACTTAAGCTTTACATTTACTTTTGTGGTTTACAGTAACAATTTATATTTGATGTGCCAAAACATTTACGATATGTATTAAGTTTTGAATGCCAATTTTTCTAATGAGAACGCTTCTGAAGATGACCTGTAAGGTCGAAACAGGTAAAGCGGATTTGTATTAACAATAAAACCAGTACAAAATAAAATTTTAATCATTGATATATTTAAATCAAATTTAAATTTTCCAAAATTCTAAAAGCGTATTTCGTTTTAAGATTATTTTCACTCTTCGAAATTTTTGATTATGATCGTTTTTGAGATATTTCATAGGTGTTATGGAAACAAATTGTAAGTAAAGACAACCTGATAGAAAAACATTTCTAAATATCAAAACGCATTTACGTGAGACCGGAAATTTAAGACAGAAGTATGTACATAACGGGAATCAAACTCAACTAGAAGAAAACATTTTGAATTTTATGGCAGATCGAAGTACTGCTAGTACTATTGACAGCAACAATTTAGACATTTCAGAATATCCAAAGTTACGTCTTGATATAACCTACATGAACAGCAATTGTATTCATACCATTTGTCGAGAATACAAGAATTAAAAATTGCTGATCATCCGTTAAAAAGTACGGTGTTGCCACACTATGATGGAAAAATGTACCATTGATGCAGCGTTTTTGGAAGAAAGTACATTTTACAGATAACCATTAATTTGAGAAATGCTGAAGTATAATTATACTGAAGAATATCCAGATTGTATGCTATTTTGACAGATTTCTTTTCAACGAACTTGAATCTTTTTGTGAATAACTCAAAAACGATGCATCTAATCAAAAATTTGTAAGACTAAAAATAATTTTAAAATGAATTAAGCTTTTAGAATCAGTTGGAAAATGTGATGGTTTACTACATAATAAAAAAAGTTTTAAGGAAATAACCTTTGTGAATCGTTTATAGCATTGATCCCTTGTTTACATATTTTCAAAAGTGATCTTAAACGATTTCTCATGATAACATAGCACTGTTTGACAAATTTTATCTTTCTAAGTCAAAATCATATTGAAAATATTTAAGAAAATGTTTAATAATCTCATTTATGGATTTAGTTTAGACCAAAAATTTTTACACGAATCGTCATCATTAATATTTGTGATTAAAATTATGCCACAACTTGCAGAAACACCATGTATATAGTTATAATAACTAAATTCTGGGCAGAAAATCGACGATTTTCTTAGATTCATATTTAACGTTTTTTTTTTTGAATATTTCTATTAAAACAAAAACGAAATTTAAAACTAATATAAAAACGAAATTTAACATTTAATTCATTACTAAATATGTTCCAATATTATCGCAAAAAAATTAAGTTCATTAATAATCTATCAAAAAAATTATTGTCATTGAACAAGATCTTGTTTGGAATATATTTAAAAAAAGTGTACACGTTCTTTCTACGTTGTTTTAAGAAAAATTCAGAACGAGACAACAACAGATTAGATAATGCAATTATCAACAGTATTGTTCTAATGTAAATTTAATCATTCCAATCAATTAATTGGAATAATACAATTGATACAAGGAAGTAGATCCTTATATCAGTATTATTAAGCTATTAATTAAGTTTTGATTTGTTCCTTTTAAATATTCCATGCAATAAGAAAAGTTAAAAATAAGTCGATGGTTCGACTTATTTTTGGCAATTATGATTTATTGTCTGTCATAAATCAAAAACATAAGAAAAAAATAAGAAAACAACTTTGTTTCCTCCAATAAGATAAGAGATAGCTAAAAGGAAATCAGTCATATATTTATATTATTATGTTTATTTGTAAAATGTTATCTTTTGCAATTATTGTATCAGTATTTAAAAATTGTTATCGAGATTTTTACACAATGTTGAACAAATTTTAATAGTTTGAACAATCTTTTTGTTTTAATCAATTGTCTAAATTTTAAAATTTGACGTTTTTAATGGCAGAAAGAAAAATTTATATGATACATATTTTTAACATGAATCTCAACGTCAATAACTAAAAATGTCGGACTATTGCCAACAATATTATTGAGTATTTTGCATAATTGTAAAACAAGGAATTGCTGCTGCATACTGGTGCAAACCCGAACCTTTCTAGTTCTAGTGTTAGTTCTAGTTTTACATTAGCAATATCATTAAAACTAACATAAAACCTAGAACTAGAATCATTTAGGTTTAGCTGTCTTGAGATACGCACGGCTAAACCCGAATGTTTCTAGGTCTAGTACTAATTCTAGTTTTAATTGTTATTCAGCGTTGGATTGTGTTATATATTTATTGAACAAAAAGTAGAACTAACACTAGACCTAGAACCAGAACCATTCGGGTTTAGCTATGTGCCTCTTAAGACAGCTAAACCTAAATGTTTCTAGTTCTAGGTCAAATGTTAGTTCTAGTGACAGTACTAAGTAGCGCTAGTTAGCATTAGATATCACTGTGGTACATATTTTTATTGAATTAAAGCTAGTACTAACACTAGACCTAGAACTAGAAAATTTTGTGTTTAGCCGTGCGTCTGAAGACAAATGTTTCTAGTTTAGTTTCTAGTGTTAGTTTTGCACTAGCACTATCACTAGAACTAACACAAGACCTAGAATCATTCGGATTTAGCCGCACGTCTCTCAACACGGTTTGTGGTATATTTTTATTGAACGAAAAGTAGAATTAACACTAGACCGAGAATTAGAAACATTCGGGGTTAGCCGTGCGTCTCTTAAGAGGGCCGAAAACTCAGGACTGTCATAAGGACGTCACCTTTTTCCAAGCAAAACTACCCAATGCCTGCACTATTAAGGTGAGTTTAGACATGTATGGATTTAGTGGCGCCAATAGTTGCGCCAGTTCTATTTGCACGCCACTAAAGGTTTACACTACATGTGCGAAAACAAAAATAAGTGACACGCCAGTTTCATTTTTAAAGTGTATTGCACAGTGCGCAATATGTCGAGTGAACTTTCCGAAGCATGCAAAGTAGTCGCTAAACTTTTAGTACAAACAAAAGATAAAAGAAATACAGAAAAAGAAACGACGAAAAGGTTGTGTCTCGGTTAAACCGTGGATTAGTCGTCGACCTACTTTTGGTGCTTCTACAAAACTTCTACGAGAACTCGCAACAGAAGATTCTGCAAGCTATAAAAATCATCTACGAATGAGAAAGCAAAATTTTGATACTCTTCTGGATTGTGTTCGGATAAGCACTACATACATCCCATAAACACGGAAAAGATTCATAGCCTTCCAGAAATTTGATTGTCAGTTCTGCCAAATTAAACACAAATTAGGACCTCAACCAAAACGAAAATCTAACTAAAAACTGTCGAACCAATGTGCAAGCATTTGTTTACACACGCAAATTTTGTTTCGCTGTACGTATTTGTTATCACTGGCGCCAGTGATTTCAGAAGGGTGCAGACTTTTCCGATCAATGTATGCATGATTTCAACTTGCATGCCAGTTGATGTTTACACATGCAATTTAATTTTATTGGCGCGCTAGTTTTTATTGGCGCCACTAAATCTATGCATGTCTAAACTCACCTTTAAGCTATGTTACATTTTATGTGTAAGTGCATAGTAGTTTCGTAACTATGGTTGCTGCACAGAGCTGTGCCGCGTACTGAGAAAACGTACTCGAGTACTGGGTACCGGGTATATGTCATAATTGAGGTACCCGGAGTACAAGTACCGGAACTTTTCGGGTATTTTTAAAAAGTACATTTGGCTAAAATTTATGTTTGGGTTATGCAAAAGCAAAATAAACAAAATATTCTACAAAAATAGTTGTTAATGTTAAATAATAACTTGAAAAAGAAAACAAAAAAATGGAATCCTAAAAATACCACCTGATAAGTGTTATATTATTGCGTTACTTTATTGGTCTTCATTATCACCAATTTTTCGAAACTTGAATCGCTGAGAGCATTTCACTGTTGACGCAAAAGAAAATAATCGCTCCATTGGTGCAGACGAAGGTAAACAAGTATTGTACCTCAAAAATATTTTTTTTGTTATGGGGTAATCGTTCAAGCTATTTATTTCGCTCCTTTTGTCATCAAGATATTTGTATAGCTCTAGCTCAATTTTTGATGTTTTCACCGCTTTCTTTCTGTGGCAGGTTGAGAGATATTCATAACGTGTTTCACGAAGTCATCAGGTATTCTATCAATAGGACCTCCATGTTTACCATGATTACCAACTTCTTCATAGCGTCCAGAGAATATTTTGGGGTTGTTAAAACATTAAACCATCGCAACTTAAATTTGGGATGAACAATTGCAGAAATAATTCTAGACTCTGACGTGAAATTAAGTATGCCAGAAAACCTTCCGTTTAAGCTATCCATATATGTTTTTAATAGTAATTCACCATTGGAACTCATACACTGGAGCTGTAATTTTTCCCATTTATTTCTCAGAGAAAGAAGACTCGGCAGTACGTATCCATAATAAACACAATCCTGTCCTTGCAAAACGTCGAGTGTTAAAGCAAGAAGTTTCAATACTATACAGTACTCTTTGAGGAACTGTAACTCGGTTTCCTTAAAATTTTTAATGT